GTGCGGGAGCGCTGCAAGAGCTCTTGAAGCAGCGGGTGCTCCGCCAGCTGGGCGGTGATGAGGTACCGGCGTCGGGATTGACCGACGTAGACCGGGTGCAGATCGGTGGGTGATTGACACGTGTCGGTGTAGGGAGATTCAGTGGGGGTGGAGGGCTGGCGACCGGAGAAAGACTGGAGGCGCTTGAGCATTGATTTGAGTTTGGATAGTTTTTTGGCGGAGGGTCTCGGCATTTCGGTGGGCTCAAGTTTACTGGGCGGTGACGGGATTTGAGAGAGAGAGAGAGAGAGAGAGAGGGAGTGAGGAAGGAGAGAAGGAAGGTGGGTTTATATATAGTGACGAGAGGGGCGGATGTGGGGCCCACAGAGAATGTGGGGGTGGACTAATAAAAGGACGTGGGGGTGAAGAAGATGATCGTAATCTGTTTACGGATTAACACGTGGACATGTTGTGAGCTTGGATGCTTTCTCCGTTATGTTTCTTTCACCAATGGTGCTACAGGCACACCCCCAACCACACCATCCACCACACATTCTCTCCCTCTATAGTGCATTGGGTTTCACATCAAATTTTAAAAAAAAAAATTAATGTGAAGCCCAATGCACTATAGAGGGAGAGGAGATGTGATTAAAATTGTGGTTGGGAGTGTGCCCCTAACATTTCTATTCTTTCCCCGCCTCTTGGGTGAAACTTCACAAAACCTCTATGAAGTTTTTTTGGGGTGCTTTGCATGAAACCCCTCATAAACATTGTTTGGTCCACTAAACCTGAAGTTTGGGTGTGTCCAACATAACTCATCAAAACATTTTAGGGTTATTTGCATATATACCCTTAAAACATGGACATTTGCAAAAGTGCCCTCAAAATCTCTATATTTGCAAAACTATCCCTTGACCCTCAAAGCAATTAACTTATCAACTTTGATAAGCTAATTTATAATCGTATTGTGGAAATTATCAGCAAAATATTCAAATTTTTAGCACCAAGTCGATAATTTATTGATTTTAGGAATATTTATTTACAAAGTTGATAATTTGAGGGATAGTTTTGCTAATACCCATGATGTATATATGCAAATAACCCAACTTTTTAATTTTTTTTAATAATAGTCCCCCCACCTATAAATGGTAAATAACTAAAATGTTCATGAAATAAATAACGACCAATCGGGAGGAGGGAGCTTATTGCCTAGAAATAACAAAGAATTAAATTGTAGATTTTGCTCTCAAGATCAGTTATTTTTTATTTACACATAAAAGGCACCCGTTTGGAAAAGGTGGCCATTTAACGCAATAAACAGACTTGAAAAGGACCAAGAAATCTACCAAAGTTCAAAAGGGTTTTGTGAGATTTGCCCTTTTTATGTAGATTTTTCCGGAAACCACCTTCAAAATCAGGTCATTCTGGAGATTATATTTGGATTTATATACAAACCATTTTAAAAGGGATTTTTTTCAATCAACCATATAAGCTCACTTTTCAATTACATTTTTTGGGTAATTGGCCCCACCTAACATTCATTAATGATCATATCTTTTATATACATGGTATATGAAAACTAATTATCATAGCAAAATCGATAAAACATACTAAACAAAGTCCAGGTGGTTGATGGCAATAAAATGCCACTTAAAAGTGGTTTACGTATAAATTAAAAGTCGAACATGATTTCTATGGAATGGTCCTATTATAAAAGTGATTTCTAGAAATAAAAAACTCTTTTATTTATTTCTTCATTATGAATCAATACTATTTTAGTTTCATACATTATCCTTTTTTTTCTATTATAATCATCTATATTATAATAACTGTAATATGTTAATAAAAAGTTATGGTTTAGAAAACAAAAAAAAATTGTTGGTAAAAACAGTTTCGATAGATTAATATGATACCAGTATTTTTGTCCTCGACGGCCGATTACCTCAATATGTTTTTATTTTCGTTTTGTATTTTTAAAAAAAAAAATTCAGCTTCCAACATTTGACCCGATGTCATTTACTCCCCCCTCTTCCTCAACGCTTCTATTGTTTTTTTGGCGGAGAAGGTTAGAAATTGTATACGGGCTATTAGGAAAACCTAGACATGTTCGTTAACGGAATAACCTATAACAAATCTATAATTAACTAATATACATCCTCAAGATGACATTTAGCTCTTCATACATTCATCGAATCACTTTAGAAGAACATAGCCACCAACGACCAACCGACACGAACTGCTAAATAAAGGGAATCAAATTACACTACAAGTTATCTCCAATCAAATTATTTGAGGGCACCATTAAAAATTCACCGAAAACCTTTAGGATACCTCCAAATTTAGACCTAACAAAGAAAAATACATGAATGTTTCAAATCAATGCAAACAAGAGTTATGGGAATAAGATTGACAAAGATCAAGCAAGCACGTTCGTCTGTCAGGCAGTATTTGAACCCTGGAGACACGCAATCATAGCCAATCAACAAAAAAATATAATCTACGTCTTAAATATGTGTTCTTTGTGAACGTTTAAGGTATATATGCATGTTGTACGTAGGATTAAGGAGCTGCAAACAACTCGAGCATGATTAGGGAGAGATTAGAAAAATGTACCCATAAACGACGAGCACCATAAGACAGCTGTCAGGTTTAGAGGAACCAAGTTTACTTTTGGGCGATCCACTCGGCGAACATTTTGGCAAAATCCATTTACATCACCGGGTAACTTGGCCTAAACTTTGGACTGCATGCAAGATTTGTGCGGTCCACAAGTGTTTCTGTTGAAGTTTGCCTTTATACACATTATTTATAATTTTTGTATGTATCATATTGCATACCCCGGATGAGACCGTGCACTTCTTTACTAGGTAAATGGCAGCATTGATTACTTTAAGATGTACATCTTTTTTTTTTTTTTTGGTTGAGAAATATACAAAATAAAATAAAAATATATAAGAAGAGTCTGTAGTAATACGATATGAAAATCAAAATAAATTGTATAAAATCTGCATTTCAGAGGGAGAATACCGACAGTATGAGAAAAAGAGAAGCAAAATGTTCATAATGCTCAATCAGCATCACAGTTCTACGCACACTGACCAATTCTTCTTCTTTTTTTGGGGGGTGGGGGATTCAACCCTGTCTACATTGCAAGAAAAATTGCACAGTTCTCTTACTTGAGAAAAGTACAGGCCAGAAACAAGAAGACATATGATACCAAGGAAGTCATGAGCTCGAGGGACCAAGCAGGATTTACCAGAACCGATGGAATCAGGGGAACTACTATGGAGCCAATTGTCCATCCTACAACAAGAGCAGCAAACCTGGGACATAGAGTAGAACGAAATCATAATTAATTGAAGCACAATCAAATTCGCTATAGCATTTGCAGTGTAGTAAGTTGTGTACTAACTTACCCAGTTGCCGAGGCTCTAATAACATTCTGCATTTTATCGTTAAGAAAGTAAATGCATGATCCAAATGAGAGTGCGACCTGCAAGGGAAACAAATCCCGGATTGATTAAGCACCAAATGTTTCCCTTGTAAAACAATATAAGTTCCATAAATTTATAGCTCTGGAAGCAAGGGCAATAATTGGATATAAAGCTCGAAACAGATTCCATTTCAGAATGCATGCTGCTAAGTTTTTCAGAATGATGAGGATCTAGGTTAAGGAAACAAAAACAGCCTACACTAGGTGAAGGGGATTAGAATTACAGTTGACAAATAAGCCTAACCTTGGACTGAAGAAAATTAAGCCAGCTAAGGACCAAGACTAGAGAATGAGGAACTAGTTACAACACCAACAAAAAAACAACAATAAAGCCTTTATCCCAAATTTTTGGGGTTGACTACATAAATCCTATTCTTCCATTAAGTTCTATAAAGGGTCATCTACTATGTTAACTATTATCAAATCTTTCTTAATTGTTTCTGATTCCTTAGGTTATCACTAATTCCCTTTGTCATTAACTATGATCTTACCAATTTACGTAAGTAATGTATTTAGTTACCTCTGTTATTCATGACCAAACCATCCGATTCTCTCTCATCTTTTCCTCAATAAGAGAATGAGGAGTAATTAAGGTTTAAGTTTGTTCTCTCTGCCAGTCGTTCAGCTAACTAGTCAAGATACTGTAAGTAGCCAAAAACTTTGAACTACCAAATTGATCAAGTGCATCAACATAACAAATGAACCACAGCAAAAAGGGAGGCAAAAACATACTTGGAAAGCAGGTCCATTGCTGCCTGAATTCATGATGCTCCAAGCCCCCATGAATGCAAAGAGGAATAAACGCCGAAGAATCACACCCATTGCAGGAATTTCGAAATAGCTGAGTAATGTTTTAAACCATGGAGGTGATTCTTCAACTTTCTTCTTCAATCTGCTCTTCAAATTGATTTTTGTTTTCTTACGAGCTCTGAAGCTCGCCATTAGTATCTTTTCATAAGCAGCTTCTATAGATTCTACACTTTTCTCGTGCCCAGCATACTGTTGCAAAAGAAAGTTTCTTGCGGAAGTGATTTCTTCTTCTGAAGCGTCGGGAGTTACGCCTAGACACTTGTAAGGATCCCAGACGTGCATTCGAGGAAACTTGGGGACATTTTCTGCATAAATTTGTTGTAGAAAGGTGAGTTTCTTTTTCCCTCCTTTTCAAGAAGATGAAATTGCGAACGGATTTATATTAGGGCTCTATTAAGAATAATTAAGGAAGCAGTTGCACATCAAATCAAAGCATGTAGAAAAGATGCTAATAACAGCAATAAGAAAACTTGTTTTACTTCAGGCTATCACCACATACAAATGTATAAGCTAGGTTCTTCATAGCTCTGGAACCATAGAAGATACTGAATAGAAAGATCAGTCATCCATTCAAGGATTCAGCATGTTTAATAGGCAGCATTCATCAAAACTCAAAATTGTAGGACGCTAGTATTTGCAGCAATTTCTGAAAACAGAAGTACACAGAGAACACAAACCTTTTGCCATTTACATAAATGAATCCTTTCAGAACTGAAAAGGATGACTCATCCCCCTTTATAGAAAAACAAACTAAATCAGAAAGGACTCTCAGATGCTAAGTGCCAAGTGAGGTAGAATTCTGAGCATGCTCCTTTGCTCATGGCTGCTTGGCCCCTTCAATCGTGATCATAAATTAACAATTAGTCTTTAGAATCTTTACCATTTATAAATTCAATATTTCTTCATTGTTCCTCAATATCTATGTTCGATATCAGTTTCCCTGGGCATCTGACCCTGGCTCCACTACTTACATGTTCTCCTGGATGTATGACGCATACCATAGTGAATATTATACTATCATTTGATATTGTCATGTAATTTTTTTCACTGCCATGGAAATGCATGGAAAGACTGCAGGGGCCAATAGTGGCATAGAAAATATGTGCAATATCTTAAATTTCAATTTTGAGTACATCCATCTAATTGATCTGATATATAGCCTGGTGCCATCCTAAGGTTCTAGGCTAAATGTGGCCGAACTTCCCTTTGATACTACAAGCAAGAAGCAACACAGGTTTCTTCTGCTTGTAAACAAATCCATTTATTAAATTAAATCACTAGGGGAATATCTTGTTTGGGGTTTCTTTTTGACACTTTTCATTGAAGTGTGTTAATATGTAACTAATAAAATGAGAAATCACAAAATCTCTAATCTGGCATATCCAACTCACCTGTTGCAATGTGGCGAACCAAGTGGCAACCAAGGTCAATATTTAGAATATTCACAACAGAAGTTCATACAAAGATAAAAAAGAGAAACAGCCAAATGCTATTGTCTATGTTAATGTTTCTCAAATGTAATGTAGAAAATATATTTCAACACTCCACTCTATTGAAGTGGTATCCTTGGTTTCTGCAAGTGACCCAGAAATCGAATTCGCATAAAAATGGAGTCTGCAAGTGACCCAAAAAAAAGGTATCACCAGAAGAACGTAGAATGACATCAAAGGATATACTGAAAAAGAAGGTTGATATCCGCCCATGAGCTCGTCGCCTCAAAGGAGGTAAGAACATGTTGACTTGGCAATTCGACACGTGGGCGATACAAGACAAGGCAATAAAGATAGAAATGGCGAGTGAGTTAGACATCAGAGAGGTGATAAACACCCTGAAGAAGCAAACCTCTAATCTTCTTGATTACTTTCTGGTTTTCAAGAGAGTGAGTTAGACATCAGAGAGGTGATGCCAGACAATAAGCCCCGACCTTCACCTGCTTGTCTGTGGTGTAGAAATCTGCTTCATTGCTACCTAGTCTATTCAGCTTAAACAAATCTCATTAATGCTAATCCAATCAATTACATTTGAGTAGCCGATGTGACTTCATTGCCCCTGTTTGGATTTAATTTTTATTAAGAGCTGAATGCTATTTCCTATATAGAAAATATATCATCTTCCCTTCAATTTGGAGTATATCTCTCTGCTTCCACAAGCTAACTTGTATGAGAAATAAGATGAGTTTTTCTAGATGCCAAGTGACTTTCTAGGATTGAAAACAAGCCAGGTGATCTTGAAATATGTGGTATTCTTTTTTGGAAAATTATCATTGATACTGAAGTAAAACATTAGGTTGAGATCTATAACACCACATATTCAATCCTGTATAAAACTCACAATGTTTTAAAAAAACCTCCGCCAAGCCCGCCTCGGCATATGCCTGGGCCTAGGCGGTACCCAGACGCCTGCCTAGCGCGTAACGTCTAGGCGATACCTAGGCAGCTCACCTAAGTTTTGAGAGCGCTTAGGAGAGCATGGTATGCTTACGTAGACTGAGTCCTTTAGGTATTGATCGTGATTTTCTCCACTGTAGTCTTGACGCATTCCAACCTTCTCCAAACTCCTCCAGCCTCCTATGAACACCTCTTCTATCTCCTTCAACTTTTAGCAAAACCTCCACTACAACTTAAATGAAGAAAGATATCTGCCTAGGTGACAATCCGGTGCCTAAGATTTCTATAACATTGACATTTACTATCAAAAAAATAAAAATTAGGAAAACTGCCTAGGCTTTGCCTAGTTTCCTAGGCTCTAGGCATCGGGCCCTACACCTAGGGAGTGCTTTCTATAACCTTGAAAATCCACACTCCACACAAGCACCAGGGAAGAAATGCTTAGATAATGGTTACTCTAGCATCCTCTTTGTTCTGCCATGAGGAATTTGAGTTAGCATAGCATGTCTAGGTTTTGATATATGGGCACATCAACTTTATAAGTTACCTCCAACAGGCTTCAAGGTCAGTATATGTTTTTTCCTTGTGCATATATCAAAGATATAACCTTTGGGCATTGACAATATAATATCAAGTTTCTTTATATCACTTCCAAATTTCAATCAATATTCAAATTAATATACACCTATGTTGCATGGACATTTCTATCATGTAGCTGTACCCAACACCGACGCTCCTTGGACACTCCCTGGATAAATGCACATACATTTATTCAGGAGTGTACTCAATTATACAATGCATGTTGTAATTTAAAACACCCAGGTAATATAAAAGCAACACAAAAATGTCATAGGAATTTTGATTCTTATAGCTTATGAATGAAAAAAACAATACTGATCTTATGCAAATTATTAAAATTTCAATATATACACATTTGGTCCTCATATCCTACCTTTTACAAAAAAATTGTGTCCTGTACCCATACCCGCACCCATATTGGAACCCGCACCCATGCAACATAGATATACACTACAAGGTACACTAGGAATAGCAGTAGAAGAGGAAAATTAACAGTCATGTGGAATCAAGGAGTGAAACACGTCCAAGAAGGATAGTTGATACAATGCTCTAATCTCCTTAATTAAATATCCTAAACAATAATGGCCCGCTTGACTTCAAGAAATAAAATCTATTCACAATCAACCCTTAATCCTAATCACGCATGAACTCCCCTATACAACAAATGATTAAGGAAGATGCATTCAAGCATCAATACAAGATGCAAACTAAGGCCTCAATATCCAAATTTTCATACTACCAGTGAAAATTATTCAATAAACAGATTTTCACCAACTGTATAACTAAAATCTACCCAAAAGAGGTCATTTTACAACCGTTTCTTCACCAAGACTCCACTTCAATCACAAACTGCCCAATTCTTACCGTAGCTAGAGCTGCCGCCAAGCGAAACATCCATCGAGCACCTCGGGCTCCTAAGTCTTCTAATGCTCCTCATGCCCACTAACGCTACTCGGCTCCTCTCTTTCAAATTGCTGCAGAAAATTAAAAAAATTAAAAAAAAATCCACGAAATAGAGCCCTGAGAAGGGATTGAATAGAAGGGGAAGCAAGGACTTACAGAGGACGAGGACCGATGAGAAGCCGAGAAGAGAGGAGGTTGGCTTTTGATAGGAGAAGGGATTCCATTTTTGAAATCCCTAATCCTTCAACTTTTTTCGGGCGAAGATCAAAGAAGAAGAAGAGAAAAAAGAGGCTTCAAAGAACGAGGAAGGTATGAGATTAAAGATAAAGTGCGGGTCGGGTTTTAACTGATGTAGATCCAATGGGCTCTTGGGTTTAGCTAATATCCTCTTTCTCGAGATCTAATCTAATATAAGTTTTGAATAATTTAAAAAAAACATATTACACAGTTAATAAAATCAAGTAAAATTTCTTCATTTCCTCTTTTGAGTCCAATCTATATTTCTAGTTTTCTCTCTATATATAACTAGTATGTACCACGTGCAAAGCAAGACAGCTTATTTTTTCTAGCATTGTATTTTAAATTTGTCTCTCTAAGTTTTAATATATTTGATTTGATTATTGTATACTTAAAATTAAAAATTAAAAATTATTTTAAACTTTTATGTTACCAAAAAATTATCTTTTGAGTCCAATCTATATTTCTAGTTTTCTCTATACATATAATACCATGACACTACAAGTTTTCTGGGTGTCACATTAAATTACTTTGTTAATTGGGAAGGTTTGTATCCTCTTCTTCCTCCTCGTTTCTCTTCATAATAATCTTTCTTCTACTACCAATTATTCATGGAGCAAGCTCACCGGAGAAATCCAGCACAGCTTTATTCATCTTTGGAGATTCCACCGTGGATGCCGGCAACAATAACTACATAGAGACTACCTCTGATTACGAGGCCAATTATCCACCGTATGGGCCAAATGGGCCGTTTGATGGGCCCACCGGGCGTTCAACTGATGGCCGGACGATGGCCGATTTTATTGGTGAGTACAAAGTAGAGGGTCATGCCTAGCTTCAGTCTGACATGAGCTATCTTGAAAACTTTTCAATGGATTAGGTTCATTTCATCGCATATATGATGATTCTCGGACCAGTACATTAATTTATCTTCGATTTTGCATGTTTTATACTAATTTACGAGTTCTGATTTTATTAAGGGGCTGTTTGGTTGGCATAATATACAAGAAAATCAATTATAAAAAACCTATTTTGTATTATAGATCCTTTTGTGTTTGGTTCATTTCTTAACACTAAGAAATGAGATAAGATGAGATGAATTGTCACCTATTATTGGATGATGTGACTAATTTTTAAGGAATTAATTCCGTGATTTTTTTTAATGAAATGAATAGAAATCAACTTTTAATGGTTTCTTTATCATATTTGCTTTTCTTTAATTTTAGGCCCTAAATCCCAACATGTCCATGGAACTAGTCCACGGACCTAGTCCACGTGGAAATACTTTATCCAATTAATAAGGTCATTTTATCTCGATTTGATTTTGTTTTTAATTTAAAATTATTCAAGTGCAGCTAAATTTGCTGGGCTTTCATTGACCCCTCCAATTTTGCAACCTGACGATAACTTCAGCAGCGGAGCAAACTTTGCATTGGCTGGAGCTAGAATATTACCTGAAACTAATCAAGGATGGGTGAGCGAATGATTTTTTTATGACCACATTTCAACAAAAAATCATTAAAATTGTACGCATTCTTCTATGATAACGGAAGTATTGAACAACAGTTAATGCTTCTTAAAATATGGTCTAAGGACACACCATAGAAAAACTATTCTTATTTGTACTTTTATATAATGGAATTTTTTTAGGAAATGGGCCGATTTTGATAAATATTTAGCAAAACTGACCGTTTTGCTAGATATTTAGCAAAACCGATCTCCTTTTGGCTAGCTCGTCAAGGTTGGCCAAAAAGAGGTCGGGTTTGTTGAATTGGTATTTCAAAACACATGCATATAGTGGTAGTGGCCGCAAACCAGCCACTAAGCAAGGATCAAAAATCCCATGGGACTACTAGTCCCGTGGGTTTTTTGAATAGTTTTAGAAAATCCACGGGACTAACGGTCTCGTGGGTTTTACAGAGACTTTGGGCTCTGTTGGCCAAAACCCATGGGACTACTAGCTGGTGGATTTTGCAGAAACCTCAAAACCTGCACTTAACATGTATAGATTGATCCTAACGTATATCCTGGGTATATACAATATATCGTATGTACAAAAAGCATAAATCCACCTCATATACATTGCTAAACAGTATAATCCTTGTATAAGTTATAAATTTTAAGAAATAAAATAAATTAAAATACATTTAATCACTTCTTAACATCACAACACGATAGATAAATTCACCTCGTATACATATCCATACGCCAAAATACTCCCAACAAATCCAAGCATATTTAGTTACAAATAGAGTCTACGCAGAAAAATTAATAAACTATCACATACAATCTAAAAGTCCGCCCTCCCCATTGTTTCCCTCTTCGTACCCGCTCAGATCATCGGCATCCGCCTTCGACTTGATCTTGTACATGCTCACTCTTTGGTTGTGTGTGGGGCTGTGATTGTCGTGCGAGCAAGATCCACCTCGTCTTCGTCGGCATGCATATACCCTATCCTCCTCATGCGCGATCTGCTCCGACCATCATATCGATCCTCATGAGTTTGACGAAGAGCTATATAAACCCTCTTCACTATCCGCTGCAATACCAAGGTTTGAATTGGCATAGCTCGAGCAGTATTGAGTACGTCATTAAAGCTTTCAGAGCAATTAGTTGTCATCATACAAGAGCGCATTCCACCATCTTTACATAACACACCCATCGATCTTCGTATTGCGACTTCAAGTTTTATTCAGTCCAATTGTGTGCTTCAACTGATGGGGACTTAATTTTCTCCCTACAATGCTCATATACCAGTGTGTCGGTTGCACACCCGGCTTGCCATAATAGATTTTGTAAATTGACCTCTCGATGTTTTTTTAAATTATCTATTATGTACCTCAAGCAATATCGGTGATGATGTGGTGCTCCAAACCCCTCTTGCAAGGTCTGTGGAATTTCTTTCATCAGGTCAAAAATAAAAGTAATCATTTTAGGACTTTGAACAGTAGGGATGAATCTGTAAATATATTGAAAAAAAACACTTCCAAATCGATGTGTCCTCTATCTCAACAAGTGCAAAGGCCAATACAAATAGCCCATCATTTGTGTCTACAACGGTCGCAACTAAAACCACTCATTTGTACTTGCCATATAAATGTGTGTCATCGCTGCTCAAGAGGGGATGCCAAAATGAGAACCCTTTGATAGAGGGTCCAAATGCCCAAAATACTCGCATGATCTTCTCCACTCTTGGTGCAATATCTTTGGACAATATTTCCTATTCGGTACCCGGATTTTTCCTCTTAGTTGCTTCAATATATTGCAAAAGTAATTCATAAGATTTCTCCTAATCTCCGTAAAGTTTAGTTCACGCATTCCTCCGTGCATCATATGCCTTATATTCGGATATAGTTATTATTCTCATATCATATATCATTGTAATTATTTGACCTGGAGTAAAATCAAGTTCTCGCCTTACTTCGACATAATTAGCTTCAAGATATAAGAGAAAGTTGATGTCATATGATCGGCATTGACAATCGGATCGCAACATGTATGAATTCCACAATAACTAGAGATCATAAACTACCCATTTAGATTTTTTCCTAACAGCGACACTAAGCTTCCATGGACACTTTGAATTTCTTTCATCTTGAGCACTTGCATACTCTCCTTGAGCTTTCTCGTTGAAGTAGTACTTTACACGGTAGTTGGTTGTATAAGTTTTCACCAGCTTAAATTTGACTCGATTCTTGATTGACCATTCGCGTATAGCAAAAACTAACGTTTCCTTATTCTCGAATAGATCTCCTCTTCTGAAAGTGAAGCCCTCGAGTCGTTCAAAATTAGAACCATGCTCAAGGAACTCAGCTTGCTAGGCATTTATCCACTCTTCATTTTTAAACTCTTTTGGGAACGATTCTTCAGACTCCACATAAACATTGTTTACACAAAATTCATCCATCAAACGACACTTGGAGATGAAATAAATTCGCTCGAGTTATTTTCAAAGTCAAGCATGTAGGAGAATTTTCCCGGAGCATATGAAACTTGGGCAACACCGGATATTAAAAAAATTTCGATAAACAACTCGATTGAGATTTGGTTTTTCGCAAGTTGTATCATGTCATTCATTTCTTGATCATTGGTGATCTCTACAGCAACTGTTCTTTTTCATTTATCGGACAATTACAGAAGACCTATGTTGCATAGTCTGCATGATTAATTCTAGTAACTTTGTATATTTGCTTCATCATTCCATTAAAGTTATAATCTATAGATAACATGAACATTTTTCCAGATCCTCTCTCATATATAAGCATAGTATTCTTTCTAGTGCTCAGTTTCCAATTGAAAAAGCAGATAATCAGTATTCCATTCACCATCAGATCTGAAATATTAACATTCATCATATGCAAATTATCTATATTATTCATAAATTAATTTTTATATATCTTATTTCTAGTTAAACCATAGTAGAAAACCCCTTTATATCAAATTTAATCTATTAAATTTTAACCAAATCCTATTGTTTATCAAAATTGAAAAAAATATTCTAAATATAGAGTTATTTCCAAACTATAATTTTAACTAAAAAATAGAGAGATAATTATAAAAAATAGAAAATTATACCTTGATGAAGTGTTGAAATTCGTCGGCATCAAAGAGATTAGACAAAGTTAGAGTTCAACAATGCCAGAGTGAACTTGTGGGAAGATCGCAGTTTGGGTTTGGAGAGAATGAGAGAGAAAAAATTTAGGGAGAAAGAGATGATTTAGGAGAGAATCAATGGAATTTGGGAGAGAGATTGGCGGAGAGTGTTGATCCAAATCGGGTTTTTTTAGGGAGAGAGAGTTGTGATAGAGATGTGGATGTGCCCTAATTTTTGGGCGCAGCTGGGACTTTTATAGGCCTGACAAATATACGGATCCCTTGTATTTGTTGGGAGCATGCGAAGCCTATGTTTAAACTATAAAACCGCTAGCCCCACAGATGTTCTAAAACTGTTAAGAAAACCCACGGGACTAGTTATCCAGCTGGATTTCTGATCCTTACTTAGTGGCGGATTAGTAGTCAGTAAACGCATTAGTCTTGTGTGTTTTAAGACACTTATTCAGCAAAACC